CGTGTTGCATCCAGTTTAGAGAAGGTCGACTTATTACGAAAACAGAAAATCTCGTGATTATCTGTAACAATTTTTTTTATTTATTTATTTAAACAGTTTTTCTCCCCTTCCAAACAATTTTATTGCCAAGACGATAAAAGTCCAAACTCGACTAACTTATCTCCATCAGAAGCTTTTTAGAAATACATTTTCTAGCTGCGAGGAAATGGTCGGTGGAGAGATAAACTCACTTAATAAACTCGGTGTAATATTTACGACGAATTTATAAGTCAGATATACACACAAACGGTTTTAGATCGATCGATATACTGTAATCTACTTTATAGAGTGTATATATATATATAATACTTAAAATTGACACAAAAAACGGCGGAACTGAGAATAGACGAATCCTCATTAAATATTTGAACACGGATAAAGCCAGGAAATTGGGCCGGGGGCGCGAAACGAGGGGCGAAGTTCTGTATTAAAATATAAAAATCCAACTTCTGTAAAAAGATAAGCAAAATTTATTCGTGTTAAACGAAACGATTCAAACATATTTTAATTAAAGGTAAAAAAAAAAGAAAAGAAAGTAATTAGGAATAAGTGAAATACGTTATCGATATTTATTTAATTTTTTGACACTATTTCTTTTATCTTTATGTTTACTATAAATCGCAACGGAGTTCTTCCTTTTAAAGGAGGACAACACATTACAAAATAGAAACGATAAGATTTTATTTTCCACTCTCAATAATAAGAAAATAACGAAAAATAAATCCTATAAAGTCCGAATATCAGTTCGGGTCTACAGAATTTTATTTTATTTTATTATTTTTTTTCTAATGTCTCGAAGATAAAAAGAAAAACGACCTTGTACTTTTGCAAAACGAAAGTAAAATTCGAATGGGAAAATAAGATTTTAATAATGTTTAAAGTCTGTAAATTGTTAACGAGATCGACAGTGACTTTTTCTTCTGTCTCCTCCCCATCCTTTTTTTTTTATTCATTCCACTTCCGTTTACCGAATAAGAATGTAAATAACTCGATAGTTATATAAATGAATGAAATTATTTATTTTTAGACAAATTAAAATAGAATAATAATACTGTATTTGGTATTCTAGAACATTACATATATATATTTAGCTTACATATTTACTTATTTATATTTAAAATAATACGACACTAATAACAATTGGGCCAAAAATGTGTTAATAAATTCTTACATAAAATTATTATTTATTTAATAATTATTCGAAAATTAACAGATTTTATATATCAAAAGAATTATGTTTCTTTTTCCTTAAAGATCAGACTTATAACTAATATAATTATCATTATTTTTTTCGCAACGGTCTATAAATTATCTTAACGAGATACCCTAAATTATAGTTCGATATTATAGAAAATTACGAAAGGAGAATGACATTTAGAAAAGACCTTGCCGAAATATAACTAGAAAAATATCTTATTCGTAGCATTTATCGATTTTTTAAATTTAAATTTTTATTTAAAATAATAAATATGGAGGATGATTAATCACTTGCACACGTGCGTTTGCATTCGTAACGAAATAACGAGATTATAAATGGTATAGAACCGAATGATAATTAGTCAGCATTAATTAATTTATACTAAACATTAAAAAAAATGAAACTTTAAATAAGCGATTTTATTATTTAACAATTCATATCGATAACGAATGCGACGAGGAATATATTCTGACAGACGTTATTTCTACTTCACACGTGTCGCGATACGTTAAATTAATGCAGTAAAAATGTATCAAGACTCGTATTTTACAATCTTTTCTAGTTGTTCACCGTCTAACCGTAATATTAGAGAGGTTGAGGCCGACGTTTTCAACGCGAAAACGTGTACGTCGGACGTTCAGCGCCGCTTTCCTAAAGGACTAGAAGTTTGGCAATGGTGTTTGGAATGTCGAGCATGATTCCACTGACTATCCAAACACCATTGTCAAACTTCTAGGCTTATAGGAAAGCGGCGCTGAACGTCCGACGTACACGTTTTCGCGTTGAAAACATCGCAGCAACCTCTCTATTAATGGCTCGAGATTAAGAATTATATTCCCAGATACGCAGATTACATTAGAGAGGTTGCGGCCGAAGTTTTCATCTCTAAAACTTGAACGTCGAACGTCGAGTGCCGCTATCTTGAACGTCGAACGTCGCTCGACGTTCGACGTTCAAGTTTTAGAGATGAAAACTTCGGCTGCAACCTCGCTATTGTCTCGGTGGCATTCTTCTCCTCCGAGATATGCAAATTGCAGGGTCTCGTTGGCATTCTTCGTTTCGAATCACTGTTTTCTCTCGAATATTGATTTTTGGCTTATCTGTATTTGTTATGTTAAAAAGTTTAACTCCCGTAAATCGTTGAAAATCCTTCAATACGTAGATTTGCCTACGTACGACTTTATCGCGTGATCTACGAGACGACAATGCACTTTTGGTGCGCATTTCTCAATAACATATTTGTTTACCAAATATATAAAGCCATTTTTGGCATCGTTTATCGATACTTACGCGCTTCATGACCACAAACTGTTAAAGAAAGAAAACACCGAACGCATGTCTAAACAATAATATTACAGAACTTCATCTTATGAAGCATTTAGAACCAAAAAGATCAAACCCGATAAAGTTTTAGCTTTGTTAAAGGTCTAACAATTACTTAGACTTATTTTTAGGAAAATAAATTATTAAAATATTGACGTCTTTTCCATACAAAATATAGAAAGGAAAGATTATTAAAGCTAAGAAAAACGAATGCCATTTTTTCCCTTTTTTTTAAGCCGTTGATATTTTCTTTTGTTAAGGAAATAGAAAATTTCGATCAAGCTGTCAATAAAGAGAAAAGCGAAGTGGGTAGATTTTAATAGCTCAAGGACGACCGAAACCGAACAATACCCCGACACACGAAATACAATAGGTTAGACCTAGAATTAATTTATGCATATCGACAACGTTTTAATTATCGTTGTTAATAAATTTTACGTATTTGATAAAACGAATTAGACTCGAAATCGTAAAAGATAATAATTACTTACGAAAGTTTTCATTCGCCAATTTGAAATAATATTGCATTTACTGTAGTGGTAGATGGCGGATTAAGTTACCAATGGCGCAACTTTATGCTATTCGTTTCGTTTATAGGCGCTGTATAAAGCTAATTTTCGAATTATTGATTTGATAATAAAGGTTTTTATCGTAATTTACGAATTGTTATTTATATTCTAAATTACTTCTCTAATACAAAAGGTTAATTTTGGATTTTATTTACATCAGATAATATATAAAAAACCGTATATAAATCTATTTATAACACTGTCAAGTCAGTAGGCCTAATTATATTCTTTACGCTATACAATTTAACGTTGATCGACGAACGTTGCGTATATATTAAAATAAATATATATATATATATTAGTTTATAAGTCTGTCTATCGTATATATTTTAATTAATAACTTAATTTTGCATAACTATTCGTTAAGAATTTTAATTTATTTTTAAGTAAAGCAGTAGATTGACACGGAGAAGTCATTCGGTGCTTCATCAGGTGCCCCACAGGAGGCAAACGGGGCACTTGTCCCTCCCCGAGATCGCGTAAAAATATTCCACAAATTATAATCGTAAAAGTGATCGTGATAAGTAACCTTACGACCGTGGGATGATATGATGCAATACTGTCTTCTCTTATCTACTTGTGAAAAAGTACCCCCAAAAAATGAAATAATTAAATAAAAATTTACGATGTAATTACGGGAAATCCTCTTTAGTTTGAAATTTAAGGGGCGACTTCTAATTATCCAAGATTTAGGTATTTCTATACAATATGCCAAATGCCACGTAACCGATGTAATTAATTAAGGAAACGGAACACGGCTATGTATACAGAACGTTATTAACAGTAATAATATAAATAAACTGCAGGTAAACGGCACGTGTTAAATGAAAACCTTACAGGTTGTCAGATAGGTTTTATAAAAAAGTAAAGCAGAATTCCTTGCAAATATATTAATTATTCTTCAAGTGGTCCAAATGTAGTAATCTACAGCCCTACAAATATCTCAATCTGCTATTTGTAGTCCAATCTTGCAATCCCGAAACCCAGCCGTATTTTATGAGATAAGAGGAAAAAAGGGTAGTCCAAGGGTAAGGTAACACCCAAAAGTGTGTTACTGTAAAAGCAAAGCCATACTGACCAGATTACAGTTGTTCTTGATCTATTGTTTTCTTACAGCATGGAGGTACTTCGATCTAAACAAACGAGTTAACGTATGCATAACCCAATCGAACAGAAATTTGCCTTCTAATTACGAAGTAGCCGTATTTCGAACTAACCGAATTCCTTAACGTGTAAATCTCTATATCCCAGGCCGGGACAAATAGCACAGTTACAAACTAACGTGATTTCGAACTATTCGAGTTTGAATTAACAAGGATTTCATGTATTTATCTCCAAGCTTTGCATCCCCCTGGAAACTTTTCTACGTATGCCCATGTGCCTATTAATCTTGAAATTACAGTCCGGCTCACGTATTTGTAAAATCTAAGTGACTCGTACAACATGGAATTCATATAAAACGGAATAATCAACAGTGTTATAGGGGGGTCGACTGTATTTTAAAGATATACAAAAACATCTCTAGAGGCTGTCCCCAGGGGTCCGTATGTGGGCCCCTGCTTTGGAATATTACGTTTGACGCCTTTCTTAAAAAGAATCTTGGGCAGGACAGCTGCACTTCATACGCAGACGACGTACTCATGCTCATAGGTGGACGTTCGAGAGCAGAACTCGAGCGCAAGGGTAACTTGATGCTACAGCTAATACATGACTGGGGGGTCAAACATAAATTAAATTTCAACCCTCTCAAGACAAAGGCTATCGTCTTCAATAATCCTGGCAAGCCTAACTTATATCTCAGACCTTCTCTGATTAAAATGAATAACAACACCATTAAAGTCAGAAAAACACTGAAGTATTTGGGGGTAATCATGGACTTTCGTCTCTCCTGGGACAAGCACATAGAGCACATCGCCGATCGCACGGCTCTCATCATGCAGGCGTTCGCCCAAGTAGCTAGAAGAGACTGGGGTCTGAACTCTGGAGCCCTTTCCATCATATATGATTGCATCTACGTCCCTATTGTCGCTTATGCTTGCGGCACCTGGGGCTGGGCCATCGCCAAAGTGCACGCGAAAAGGAAATTAGTGTCCTCTCAAAGACGGCCACTACTTCTCATTACAAAGGCCTTCCGCACGGCCAGTAATCACAGCCTGCAGGTGATTGCCCGTAAACTCCCCATCGACTTAGATATTCAAAGAAAGCAAAAAATGAAACAAATCAAATGGGGCAAGACTATCCAAGCTGGCTCTACGACATTTACACATAATGATATTGAATGGCCCCTTCCCTATTGTGACTCAACATTTCCAGGCAACCCTACTGTTAACATCTCTGAGAACATCACCACTGCAGATATGGACATTTACACGGATGGTTCTAAGCTTGACGGTGAAGTGGGCTGCAGCTTTGTTGCCTATACAGGGTGCATCGAGACTTACAATCAGAAATATCGTCTTGACAAAAACTGCAGTGTCTTTCAAGCAGAGCTACTGGCTATCCAGATGGCCATTGACTGGATTAATGATAACTTCTACAATATAGTAGTACACATCTATACTGACTCGATGTCTGCCTGCAACATCATCCACAGCATGAAACCGCACCCTGTTGCAGAGAATATTAGAAATAAAATCAATGCCTCTAGCTGCACCTTTGGTGTGTATTGGACTAGATCCCACCAAGGAACTCCCGGTAACGAGAGAGCAGACTCTCTCGCTAAAGCCGCTGCACTTGACCCCACCATCAGCATCTCTTACCGCAAGCTTAGTCGTAACACCCTTCGGACCATTCTCTGGGAAGAAGCAGTCAACATCTGGCAAACCACCTGGAATCAGAACAACCACTGCATCACTCACAACTTTATTCCGAACCTACGTGACTTCCTAAGTTTGGACTGGTATACGCCGGATTACCATATCTCTCAACTACTTACTAACCATGGAAAATTCGCGAGCTACCTATACCGGTTTGCTCACAGAACTTCCAATCATTGCCCTACATGTCTCGTTGAAGATGGCACCAAGCACTACCTTTACGATTGTGTTATGATGGACAGTGAGAGAACTGAACTCCGTCTGTTACTTTATGAGATTGGCATTGAATGGCCATGCCAGCCTAAAGACATTTGGACTAACCGTGAAATCTTCTCCTCTTTCAAAAGACTCACTAGGAAAATAACCCATGTCACGCACCAAATTATCAACTGCTAACATGTATTACTAATCTACTTGTAATAATT